CACGACTGACAAAAAGTATAAAAAAAACTACCATTGTTGATGCACTAAATAAGTAATTTTAAGAATATAGGTTTAACGCCTCGTCAAAACAATATTTATGTGTGCGCATCAAAAACGATTGGAAATAACATAAAATATCAAAATAAACGGTCAATATTATGTTTAAAAGGATTATGAATTTTTTAAATGTTATTTGTAACAGAGAGTAGCCACGAATAGTCAATGTTGTATATTTGCCCAAAAATAAGTTATTTACATACTCGTTTTGAAGAGTAATATATTGCTATAATAACGTATTAGTATTTTCATTGTGGTAATTAAATCAACACACATACACTGATCTACATAATATGCACCTACTGTAGTTACTCTTATTGTAAATATAGGATGTTAGTATTATCTTTTGCTGGCGATAATGATACCTATTGGCTATTGTTATAATTTGTTTATAACTGGTGTGTTTACATTTATTAAATACAGAACCGGCGGCGCAATTTCTTTGCCGTTTTGCAGTAAATACAGATGTCGTCCGGGATGAATTTCGTTATGCTTGTGTGTGCTCATTTTTCGTTTTTGTCAAATGTTTTTGTGTCTAACAAAAATTACTACCGTAAATATATAATATAAATATGTGTACCTATGTATAGAAATTAATTTCAAGACCGTCGTCGTGGTGGCATGGCGGCGGTCGTTTCTAGCCTAATTCGGCCTTTTCGCCTGGATGGATCCAGCGTGGTATAGAAAGATGTACATACGCCTGGTCGATCTCGAATAACGATTCTTTTGGATACTGTCCGTTTCGTTTTGGTTTTATCTCTTATGAAAATTAATATCTTATTTTTTTTCCCCCGTTTACACGCACAGTATCAGATGCGTTTTCAGTTAAGGTACGGTAGGTATTTACTGTTGTACGCATGACCGGTACTCAAACATATCATACAGGTACAGCCGACCGATCACAAAAAAACCGTTTACGCACCACTCGAAAACTCCATTGCGTCTCGGCCGGCATCGTAACTAGTTTTTAAATACAATTCTTTGGCGGCGACGGCGGCGGTGACAATATTTATTATTGAATAATAATTTTCACTCCTCGGATATTCGATTAATCCGGGTGCGCATTAAAAGCCAAACCCGATTATGAACATCCATTAGACTTGTAATTTTTTTTCTGGACAAAATAAATAAAAACAACCCTTAACCCTCCTCAGCCGTCGCGCCCGACCGAAGTCCTCGGTCGGTTTTGGCGCGAGCCGGCACATTAAACTCGGATACAAATTAGATTACTGCAAGCGCGCCCGCGCAGAGGGTTTTCAATGTGTATGTATGCGTTTGCCCGGCGACTAACTCGAATTTATGGGCCGACGTTCTGTTTGAGCCCCTCCTCGTCTGTCCGATTTGGCCGCTTTTTGACATCCGATTAAGTTCCTGTGCGAAAGCGAATAGCGTCGTGGGGTGCCTTATATAAACCAGCAGCAACGTGTATAATATTATGTTTTTATTGCCAATGTGTATGCTCGCGACTGTTGGTCTATTACATTACAGTCGTGTAAACAATATTATAGTCGAAATATAATTTAAAAATAATTACAATACAATTAATATAATATGCAAGTGTAGAATGTGTTGATATTATTGGCGTGTATTGTTTTTAAAACGTTAAAAATCGTTTTTTGTCCATCACAGTTTCAACAAACATTCGTGTAAATTATTATTAATGGGCAGGATATATTTTGTCATTGAACTGACGGATATAAGTATAAACATTTTTTGTTTATACTTATACTTATTATACTTGTTTTTTGACACATTATTACTATCTATATTATCCCAATACGTCTTTGTAAATACTAATATTTAATATATTCTCATCTATTACTCACGTGTAATACATTTAAATAAATGTAATTCATCGTTTGTATTTTGAGTTTCGCCAATGGTATAAACAATTAGTTATCGGCTTGGTAAGCATATTTGTTATTTAATTGTTTTTGTTTTCGTTAAATGAAGATTCTGTTTTACAATTAACTTCAATTTCAATCGATATTAATTAACTATTTTTAAAATAAGTAAAAAAAAATGACTTAAACTAATATTTTTAGCTTCTATAGGCGAACTAAGTTTTTTTTGTAACGTCATAAACAGTGTTCAACGCATACTCTGTATAATACAATACTTATTGTTAACATTTTATTCAAAACTGTTGGTTCAACGTACCAAATTACTATGGGGTTACTATAGGGATAGTACCTACCAGGTATAACGAGATCGTTGTGTTCACGTTTGGAACAAAAAAAAATAAATTTAACTTGGGACGCCTTGACGAAAATCCTGTTATACCATCCTCATGTTTGATGTGTATATAATTATAATTATGACACAAATGTTACTTTACCCGAATTTCTATTTATTCCGACCATAAATGATGTATTTTTTAAACCTAGAAATACATCCACACCGTTCGATGTAATTGTGTATTGATCTTCGAAATGTGTACTAACACGTGTCCGAACACTCGAAATGAACGCAATATATGTGTAATAATATACAATTCACTGGCAATGGTAAAATATAATTTTTTTTACATTGTGCTCGTGTCTATTGTATGTGCCAATGTTTTGAGTGGGACGGCGCTTAATCCGGCTGTGCACGTATATATTGGACTGAGTGTTTTATACCTTTGCGCAAAACCAAGCTCACGCATATATATATATATATTTTACTATATACTCTTGTTGTTGTTATTGTACAGACCACCCGGTACCAATGCAACGGGTGCGATGAACGGGGGTGTGCGGTAGAGGACGAGGGCGACGAGCAGCGGCGCGTGAACGAAATGCTTTTGAGGGGATGATTAAGACACGGCGTGGTGATTTATAAAAATGTAATCACTTTGTCCAAGATGGTGTTCCCCCGGGAGACGCACTGTGTAATGGATGTGTTGTATGTATACATCAAGGCGGGATGAGCAATCCCAAAAAGGGTGCGTGTGTGTATAGGTATCGCTAAGAATGGAAAAATTATAACGGCAAAGGGTCACAATATCGGCTAAACTCCACCAAAAATATATTTATATGTATACAAAAAATACGGGCGACCTTTTCTGATTAACTACCCGTGTATACACATACATAGAAGAGGTTTAATGCCGCTGTTTAATTTATAAAATTAGGGTGTAGCGGTGTTATTTTTATTTTTATTTCGCATCACTTTCTGTTAAATTATGTGGCGTGTTGTGACCAAAAAAGTGATGTTACCGTTTTTGAGATTATCATATTGGTTGATGATAAATCGCATTTTGAGCGTATTGTGGCCAAGTTAGGTTAATTAAAAATTGAATATAGTTTTTGACCTTAACGCCACAAAACTTCATTACGATGTTACATGTATAGCAATAACTCGGATTTCGATAATATTACAACTACGGTTATAAGTTGGATTTCTTCAATTTATTAAGTATATTTGTTTTAAAGTTATCACAATAACACAGAAAACAATTCATAGTTTATCCAATTGTGTATTTTTCCCCACGAATTAAAGTTACAAAAACTGTTTTATAAACACAAAAATTAATTATAATTTTATGATAAGTTAATAACTATGTGTTTGGCCTTGCAGATTATTGTTTTTGGTCATCGTTTATTGAATCACAATTATCATTATAATCGTAGTTATTCGTGTGTAAAAAAAATTTACCTTTATTTTAAATTACTGAATTTAGTGAATTATCAAATCCACATTATATGCTGTACCTACCCGGATAATTATATTATGTAATATTATTTGTCTAAAAATTAAAACGAGATGATATATTTCATTAATGTTTTTTAATATAATTATTATTAAAAGCAATTACCGGGGTGAGAAACATCATTAACTCAAAAACTGTTACATTCTCTCTCTCTATATATATATACCCTTTAGGAGTAAACGTTTAAGTGATACCAGACCACTTCCGCGAGTGAGCACTTAACACAATTAACCACCCTTCTTTCTTACGGTGACCGTGTGTCTCTTTCCGTTTTTACAACACTCCTGGGGCCCACTGGTGTTTTCATCTTTAATGCACTTCTCTTCATTTATCATACACCGAACACAGCTCGGATGCGCAGTCTACGGTGTAAAACACCACCGTGCACCACTTACCGTTATCCCGTAACAACCGACCGATTTTCTTTACATGAAGTATAATTTTTCAAAGTTATGCCAAGAAGCACTCTCCCTAAAATTCAATTTGGCCGTTTTCCTCTTCAAGCACTAGTTTAGCGTGTAACGGTCTTGGTTTTATGAGTTTTTTTGGTCCAGCTATGTATATATAAAGTATAATAGCTGTGTTCAGTCTGTTGCGCTGATAATGGTAGTGTTTTTATCGAAATACTGAAAAGCGTTTTGCGATGAAGAGTATTTTTTAATATTTTATTGTTTTATTACTTAACCAAATTACATAACCACTTGTTTTGCTCATGTTTTTTCTTGTCTTTTAAAGTATTTACATTATTGTAATAATATTATTTGAATATTCGTTCTAATTTAAAATAACTTAATAGCTTAAGTCAATAACCTTTGACAAATTATCTACACTAAAACATGGTTTTAGAGCTTATGCGTGTGCTAAATTAATAATTATCCTCTAATATCGGATTATACCAGATTGGTACAGTCGTATGCTTTATTTTTATAGCTTTGTCCCTAATAGCAATTACATAATTACATTAGTTGTTTATATATTGTGTTGACACTTATTATAGATATCGGATATCAATTATTTAATCATCGTTTAAAAATCTAAAGTAAAACATAACTACAACAGCTATTTAATATTAGATTTAATAACTTGCAATGGAGTATAGTTATTGTTAGTTACGTTGTTTATTTAAAATTTATTAATGCAATCGTATAAAGCGTAAAAACGATAAAGTTACTAATGTACTAATAAAGAAACAAAATAAAATAATAATAATTCAATTTTTCTAAAATTTATATATAATATATTAACCGTCAAACCTAATATAGGCAATTCCAAAAAAACAACGTGACATTTTTTACAACAAATACATTTTTAAACTTTGCATCTTTGTTTCTTAGTACTAATTAAATGCATAGAAATGAATAATATTGTTATTTAATGAAAATTCGATTTAAATAAAACATATCATTGTAAACCCAAGATCGAAAGTAAACAAATTGTTTCATTGTGTGGTGTATTGTGTGGCTTTTTAAAATTATAATATAAATAAAAGTAAATGAGTCAGTAAACTCACACAGTAATAGTGTCGTCAAATTATAAAAGAACAAACACGACGTCCATAAATATGGGATAAACAAAGGATTTTGTAAAAAAAAAAATTAGAAATAATAATCAACGACATAATATTTTAACGATCGAAAATGGCGCGTTCGCAATAATACAAAATTGAATTGAAAACATTTGCGATACATTATACATATACATTTTTAGTGATGGTAACAATAACAAATAATAATAGCAATAGTCGATCATCTTCAAGGAACATGAAATTTATAAATACAGGATTTTATAATAATATTATTTTAACAAGAAAACAACAACACTATTACCAACGTCACAGTTTGTCGAAAGCTCTGGAGTTCGTCAATATCTCTCTGGTTAGCCTCCACGTTTGTTTAGCTGCGTTTTCTAGACTCTGCGGGGTTTTGCCTTTGAACAGATCCACGTGCGGTAGGAAGTAATGAGGGCACCTACGACATTGCAGACACGAGATCAACTGCAACAAAATTCCGTTGATCCTGTCACCCAGACACGACTCGTCCCATTCCACGTCCAAGGGATGTTTTTCGCACTCGTACAGCAGCAACGTTTTGATGTGGTAATTGGTTACCGGGTTACCAGGCAAATCGAGATGCCGGTCTCTGAGTGTCTTCAAAGTGCTCAGACACTTCTTGCGGCACCCGCCGTACATGAGCCTGTTCTCGGCTTCGACAAATGACATGACCCAGGCGTCGCCTTCGAGGGCCGATTGCTTTCCGTGTAGGGACACACACTCTTTTGAGAGCAGATCGAACCCTTCGGTCTTTACTTCGGCCACCAAATTGGGATGAGGCCAAGGGATCTGAGGCAAGGGCCAGTGCGCGGACGACCGCGGCCATATCCCCGCACACTTAAACGAAGGCGTGATCTGCACCACATACCTTTCCCGGATTCGTAGTTTCACCTCACTGGTGTCGGCGATCATTTTTACAGAGTCCCGGTACACGCACTTGTCGCACGCTTGGGCCACCAGCGTCTGGAACCTGGATCGGATCTTCCGGGCCGACAAGTAACCCGAAGCGGTGATGAACTCCACCCAGAGGCTCATGCTTCTCTTGCGTCCGTCGCTGAGCTTCAGCACGGCGCAGCCCGGTAGCGACCCGTCGTCCACGAAGTTGAGCACGCCCATCTGGTTCAGGTAGAGCACTATCTCGAACTCGGTAGGCGACACCACGTCCAGTCCTTCGTACCGACCGTTGCACTCGACCAGAGAGGATATGAACCTGGGCTCCTGGGCTTCGACTTCGCGCAATACGTCCTGGACCACTTTGCACACTTCCCGGATAGTCTTGACCGTGGCCATCTTGCGCGGCATCACCCTCTCTGCCCAGAATTTGCCCAACTGATACGACAGCTTGGTCTGGGCGGACAGCATATCCTGCGGGACCAACATGTTTTTTTCGCCGTATCGCATGTCACCGGGCGCACTAAATAATTTGTTACGGTTCTATTAGTTTACACTGCGTGTAAGCGTTTACACTGTGTCATCGGAACATGTTAAACGAAGACGCTGCTTAAGTCTAGTGTGTTGTTGTGTTTGGGTTTCGGCAGCGAATCAAATGGAACAACTGATATGAGTTGAGGTAGACGCGCGCGACGACGTTAGACGGAGAAGACGTGGTGTACTGCCGCACTGGTCGACGGCGGCGCGGGTCCTCGTGTCGGGTGGAACGCGGCCGCCGTCGGTGGGGTACCGTTGAGGAGGTAGGCGTGACTCTAAGAGCCGCCCATTTAACGGCTATCGATCCGGGGCGGTCTCCATATCTGCTTGTGGCCGCCGCGCCGCATCGGAATCGGCTATACTTCTTTAGCATTTTCGAGCAACGCGTTTTGTATCTGTCGTTCTTTCCCCCTTTTTGCCCATAGTAATAAAAATAATTCTCCTTATCCTCCGAACACTACACAATTTTTTGCCCTTATATATATACACATATATAGGCTTATATACTTTTTTACTAATACCCCTCTCTCTCTCCCATACGACGCACGTATATGTACATTGTAAGCATGCAGGGAATTCGATACCATTCGAAACGCGTTGCGTTTCCATAATTTATTATAAACCAAAAAAACTGATGTTAGTTTCTTGATCGGAGGTGTTGCTATCGTCCACCGTCGTCTATATAGAGATTAAGAAAAACCATCCCCGGTAAATAATATGTGAATAAAATGGGTGCTATATTTGTACATTATCCATTTGCATTGTATACACGCAAATGGACCACTTAACCAATGGACTTAATTTCTTCTGCCCTAGTAGTAGGTAAATCTCTTACAGAGTGAATAAACCATATTTGATAATATTAGTCGTCAACTTAATGTATCATACCTACTGAAATAGTTTTACTAAATACACTAAATATTAGCTGTTCTCATAGGTTTAGTTTGAAAATTAAGTGTACCTTCACAATACTAAAATTACAGGTAAACTTTTCTTAAATGTTAAGCCAAAACTGGTGGTTATGGTCTTACACGAAAAAAAATTGGTTGAATCAGTGAAAACCAAAAAATTTATACAGTCTGTAGTACCTACCATTAAGTCAACTAAATTAAAATTGGTTAAATTAAAATTGACAATCAAAAATCGCTCAGTAAATTGAAAATTCGTCGATACAATTTTAGTCATCACTTTCTTATTATGGTATGTGAATTTTTGTGCTCAATATAAATAGGAGTTCAAAATTTAAATGTCGTATTGACAATATTTAGCTTCGATTCGTAGATAATAAAAGTATTGATTCTATAATATTATGACTTTTTTTAATTTTTAAAACTTGATAAACTAAAAGTCATTTTGCCTATAAGTGTTGTGTGATTTGAATTCAAATATAAGGATATTGAAAATCGAATATTTCAAAAAAAATAATTTCACCAATTCTAATTATCCTTTAAAATTTCTTAAATTTTTTGCTCGGGTTGTTTATAGATAAATTTCTCTAATATATTACTAACGATATTATAATAATCGATAATAATTTCCGCCACTAAATCAATAAATATCAGTGATTTTTGCAGGGTCTGAGGGTTCAAATAATGATTGGTGTTATTTCTATAATGTACTTACCTACTAAATTTGTAATTTTACTGTCCCCTATTTTATTATTGATAATATTTTTTTGTTAAATTGATGATATTATTATAATTTTTTTAAATTAATAACCCACGTAATAGGTATATACTTAATTATTTTATTTATAACAAGGTAATTCTAAAAAAAAAAATGAGAATTAATTTAATCGACAGCAACTTATTTTTTTACTACCATGCCGTATTTTTACCGGTGTAACATTTGTGTATGGCAAATAGTACCTAAATGTATTTTAAGTTCATTCATCCTTTATTGCAACAAATCATATTTTGGCAGTATTTAAAACAATGTTATCTAAAAAATAGGTATATACTTTCCTAATTGTTCACTATAAAATAATAAACGTATACATATTTTCTTTAATCATTATTTTCTTCAAAATCTGGCAATATTATAATTCTTTTTAATAAATATTATAGTTTTGACTAACAATTTATTTAAGTCACTTGTAACTAAGTTATCATGTTGTTTCACTCGATATGATATGTTATCATGTTAGTTCACTCGATATTCGGTAGAATAAACTGTTAAATATATTTGCTTGTCTCAATTATTTAACACATTTTTTTAGATAGGTACAACCAAAAGTTGTTCCTTGTACCGTTTTGTACAACTAACATTATTAGTTACTAATAAGAGATAATAATAGTATATTCTGTTCAGTTAAATTTCACAATTATTATACTAATATATTCATTTTACAAATTAGTTTAGTAAACCACCGTAGAATCAAGTGTTTTTTCAAATAAATATAACAACGGGACTATATAGTAGTTATTATTTTAAGTATATGTAATGTGTATATATAAAAATATTTTGATTATCGTTATCATAAATTATATTTACAATACAACTTACATACACGTATGAATAAATATAGATGACTTACAAAAGAGAAAATATTAAATAATATAGGTAGGTTATAAAGGTAACAAAATATGAACTAAACATACACTTTCTACAAACTAATATTGCACGTCAAGTATTACAGTACCTATAAACTATATACTTTTATAATCTACTAGCAAATAAAAAAAATGCTCATAATCAGTAAACAATTATAATTATATAATCAAAACTTGTGTATACAATTTAAGTATGACATAACTATGAGACGAAAGAAAACAACGAATTAAAAAAAATCACTGGGACCATATTTTAGGTATCGTCGACAAAAAGGGTTAAAGCTTATTATAATTTATATCGAAAAGTTGACTAGTATATATAGTAGTATACCACGATTTGGCCGAAACATAAAACCTGTTCAGAGTTTATCGAATGCCCTCGAATTGGTAATTATCTCCCGGCTGAGTCTCCACACGTGTTTTGACGCGCTTTCCAAAGAAGCCGGCGTCTTGCCTTTGAACAAGTCCAAGTGCGGGATAAAGTAGTGGGGACATCGACGACATTGCAGGCACGAGATCAGCTGCAGCAGTATCCCGTTGATCCTGTCGGCGATGCTGGTCTCCTCCCATTCCACGTCTCTCGGATGCTTCTCGCACTCGTACAGCAACAACGTCTTTATGTGATAATTGGTTATCGGGTTGCCCGGCAGATCCAGATGTCGGTCCCGGAGGGTTTTCAGGATGCTGAGGCAGCGTTTCCGGCACCCGCCGTACAGCAGCCGGTTCTCCACGTCCGTAAACGACATGACCCACGCGTCGCCTTCCATCGAGTTCTGCTTGCCGTGCATGATCACACTGTCTTTGGACAGCAAGTCGAACCCCTCGGTTTTGACCTCGACAATCAAGTTGGGATGCGGCCACGTGAGCTGTGGCACCGGCCAGTGAGCAGCCGACCTGGGCCACACGCCTGCACACTTGAAAGACGGCGTGATCTGCACCACATACCTGTCCCGTATCCGGAGCTTCACTTCGCCCGTGTCCGACATCATTTTCACCATGTCCCGGTACACGCACTTGTCGCACGCTTGGGCCACCAGCGTCTGGAACCTGGATCGGATCTTCCGGGCCGACAAGTATCCCGAAGCGGTGATGAACTCCACCCAGAGGCTCATGCTTCTCTTGCGTCCGTCGCTGAGCTTCAACACGGCGCAACCCGGTAGCGACCCGTCGTCCACGAAGTTGAACACGCCCATCTGGTTCAGGTAGAGCACTATTTCGAATTCCGTCGGCGAAACCACTTCTAAGCCTTCGTACCGACCGTTGCACTCGGCCAACGACGATATGAACCTGGGCTCCTGTGCCTCTACCTCGTGCAGTACCGTCTGCACGACTTTACACACCTCTCGTATGGCTTTGGTCGTGCTCGCCTTCCTGGTCTCCACTCGTTCCACGTAGTACTTGTTAAGCTGATACAACATTTTCGATTGCGTGGCCAACATGTCCGAGGGCAACAGCATGACCGGCTGCTCGTACTAGACCGTTGTCGCTTTGGCCGTTACACTATGTACATACAATCCCGCGTCGTTATTGTTTTAACACCCCGAAATCGAGGCGGCTGTGTGATGCTGTTTGCGATAGCATAGTGTTGTTGCGGTTACACGAACGACGATCGAACTGCCGGGGCCCTGGCCGACGCGGCTCGGGCTGGGGGTCTCGTCCCACCGGGCGACTCGCTGCCGGGCCCCGGTCACGCCCACACGACCAATACAAAGCCCGTACGGGCGCGCGCGCCTCACCGATCGATATCTCGCCCGAATACATTACGCGCCGCACCTCGCCTTCGTCACGGCGCGTTTGTCACCCAAATGGTTTTTTTCTGCATCTCTGTTGTATGTCTTATAATAACGTCCACGTCGGGCCGACTTCGCACAAAGGTGTAAATCGTACGAAGAAAAACCTCAAAGAATGCGAGCCCCGACGATTGACATTTTATGGTAGGACGCGACGATTGGTTTTTCTCCTCTACCGCTTATATCTACTCGCAATCGCAGATAAGCAAAAATCATCAAAGTATTATTAAGTCTTAATTACGTTACATCAGTCGGATTATCCATATTATTAATATTATTATCCATATATTCATGTTATCCATATTATTATCTATTAAAAATCGCTCTTACTATAAAATATATAATTTATAAATACATCAAGTGGTACCAAAATAAAAATGTACAGGTGCATTTTGATTTATAAACACATGACAATTTTGTATTTTGTATCAATGCCAACCTCTGCTCGCATTACCACGAATACATCTCGTCGAGCCAATTCAATAAAAAATATTATTTTTTGAAAAATAGGGTAAACAATCCATCCTATAATTAACCTGATCAAATTAGTTGATTAGCAATGGACATATTTTATGTTTAGTAGACTGCCACCGAAATGAATTTATATAATATGGTCATTCGACGAGGTCGTGTTTCAATAGCCAGACAACTAAGAATTACAATATATGCTAATCAAATCATCCATTTAAATTGTAATGTTTTGTTATAGACTTATATTTATCTCTACATAAATGATGGTCATAAACGTTGTGTTAAATAAATGCATATTCACACGTCGTTTTCTTATTCCTAATTTACTGGATATTTATTATTACACTCAGTATGAGTGTATATACATATATATATATATATATATATATATGTGTGTGTGTATATATATGTATTATGTAAATGCTAATGCCTCATTAATAACGATGTCTGTACCTAATACTATTGAGTATATATTGTAATAAAATATATTATACTCAATACCTACTAAATGTATACTATAACTATATAATGTCAGAAAGGAATGTATAGTATAACCAGTTACAATTGATTAAAGCACAACGTTGTATTAATTTGTATTTTAATTAAAACTCTTACTTGTGATCAATTTCTGTGACATTTGAACAATTCTATAATTAGTTGTGCACCTATAGGTACGTTGTTACTGTCCATTGTGAATTTGTTAGATCGTCGACTTTTTAATCGCTCATGTATATATTAGTAATAATGGATTAATGCCGTTTGTCTCAAGGTCGTTTGCCAGTGGAGACAAAATAGTCGCCTATATATAATATTGTAGTATGTATATAGTAGAAACATTTTTGTTTTAGAAGTATAAAAATATTATCTCCTGTATTTTTTATTCGATCACACGTGTTAAATTTGCACAGACAATCAATATTGCTTTAAAACTATACAAAATTTACTTTAATATTATCTCAAACACAATATTACAATTTGTCATCTCGTTGTTTAAAATATATTTAAACCTGTTCAAGTTTTAATATAATAATATATTTTACTGTTTAATAATTTATGTACCTATTATCATTGTATAGAATATATATATACCTTCATATATAGCAACACCGTACATATACATATATTATGTAAAACAAAATACTATATTCAAAAATATGTTTATTTTAACATAATCTCACTAATGGTTTCAAAAATGTTTCAATATTTTTTTTTTTATGGTAATGTGAAATATCACTCATTTGGTTTATTTTTTAATACAATATTGATTAATTGACATTCAGTGTAATATAATTAAATAGACAAATGTTCAGCGATTGCTTAAAAAAAGTAAAACACAAGCGTTATTTGCGAGAGATTATTCAAATTATTTAACTAAAAAATGTAATAGAAATTAACACAATATGATTTTGATAGAAAAAAATATCCATAATGCAAGGAAATCTCACCAAATATCTAAACGATGTTTTTACTTAGCATAGTTACTTATGGAGAAATAATATTTAGGTATTAAAACAAATCGCGACGAAGATTTTGTATTAGTTAACGACAGTCAGTTTAATATTTTTTTAAACTTTATCTCCTACGTGGAAAGGGAAACGTTTTTATTTGTTTGAACCCATTTTTTTGTAGCATCCATCTAGTATATAAATTGTAACTGGGGACCCAATTAGATTGCATCGATTATATTATTTTATGTATAATTTATATTCGTGAATGATATCTAGTTTTGCTTGGGAAATAATTTATTAACCCTATTGAAATAGTTAACGCGTTAAATTTCGACTATATAATGTATAAAAATACTGAAGAAGTATTCTACTAGAAATTGTAATATTATGTAATGATAATATTACTAATATTATTAATATTAATAATATTACATAAATGTATCTAAGTAATTCAAATATTTAATGTATGACTATGTTGGAAAAGACAATTTCTTTACTTGTCTGAATGAGTGGAAAAGGTATAATATTCCTCAAAATCCAACTTTCGGAGTATAAAAAAAAACTGTTTATTTCCTATATAGTCTTTATAGGAATTATATAAATAAGTTTTAATGAAATAGTACCCTTTATACACTCGACATAATATGAGTGTACCTTTCAGCTACAAAATTGTAATTTTAGTTTGTTTTTCTTATTTTTGGAATTTTATCCTTTTTCCACTGAGCTTGTTTAGCGATGATTCAATTAATTTAAAATGAATCCCATACATGAAATAGTTGAAAATTGGAAAAATATTCTAACAGGAGTAGTTATCAAATAATATATGTATATCATATTACTGTTTTTACTACTCTATGATCTACATATTATATAGATATTAAAAATAAATAATTTACCGTTCTTGCTGTATTGAATTAGTGGCGTATGTGTTTTTAGTGTACATATAACAATGGTTATTGTGTTTACTAAATCAAGGTATGGTACTTGGGGGTGGAGGGGGCCGTACCTGAAAGCTCTCGCCGGTCTGTAAGCATTACAAAATTTCAGCGCTCCCATTATTTGTGATCTTGTTGCTCCTTGCTGATCTTGTACATAAACATTATTATTTCTATTATTTCGGGACTACTCTGGCATGTTCTACGACGAGAACGGCGGGTGCGGTCTAATCCCGGCTAGCTACTCTGCTACTCCTGAAGGGCTCTCCCGGGGGGGATGAACGTCACTTTGGATTACGGGAGCAATTTGTCGGCGGCGGTGGCTGAAGTTTGCGTAGGAGTGCGGATAGGGCGAAATTCGATACACAATGATAAGAAATATCTTTGTTTCGTGCACGCGGATTTGTGTGTCCGAAAAACACACGTTGCCGCCCCGAAGGGATGCGTTTTTAACGAGGAAAACAATAATAACGAAAATAATATATATATATTTGTTTTTTCTTTTGCTTGCTTGCGTGCGTAATGACGACGAAAGGCCACCACCACTTCGGACCATCATCTACGTCGACGGTCGCATATTATAAATCATTTGTTTCCGAATAAACGTGGGGAGGACACCACCCGCATTAGCGACTCAGCCGGTGGTGCGTTTTATTTTTGAACTCTCCAGTCTCTCCTTCGGTGCTGCTGTCTGTTGTGGTGGCGCCTACGCGGAACTCCGGTTGATTTTCACACGACCGCATCACCGCCCCATACCAAATACAGTCAAAATGTTTTTACTATTATTATCATCGCCATCGCCGTTTACAAAACAACCGTGGTGGTGTTGGACGGAAAATAAATCTACCGAAACGGAAAACAATCTCGAGTGTTAACGCCACTATATTTGCTAGGAATATACAGTTTCGGTTTTACGCGTTCGTGATGATAATATAACGAGTCACGTGTCTAGACTTTAAAACCCCTGTATGATATGATACGTTATCGTAGGGCATACGGGAAACATACACAGACGACTAAGTCTTCCAATCGTGTAAAACTCGTTCATCTTAAATTAGTTTTCATATTTCAATAGACCCGAGAATAGATCGTATTTCTCCACTCAAAACAGCTGTTCGCTAGTATATATTATTATGTCGATAACAGAAAGCGTAAACAGTAAAATTTTGTTTTGACTTTCCTGTACACAATTATTGTACTATTATTTCTTGAATTTTTCAATAGTTGAAAATTCATGAAATACCATGGGCGTGTTCATTAATCGATAATAATGAACAGTCATATACCCATAATAAGAATTACATAATAATGAAGATTTTACTCTTTATGGAACGATAGTTTTTGTTGAGTTGGCTGAACGTTCGGTATGCAGCCAAATGAACGTCAATGTATTTACACGATATGTTTACAGACACTTAAGAATTATTATGCTTATTTAAAACCGACCGTGCGGTTAGGTCCTTAGCCTGACTAAATGACACGTGCTGGTTGCGTACGGATGATTCGTAACGGAGATATCGCAACTAGCATTTAAAAGTTGATCTATTGTAGATTTGAAACAATTTTTATAAAACGAATCCTTCACTTGGAACAAGGACTGTAAAAGAAGAACGTAACTACCCGATTTTGGTGCCTACTCGGTTATTATTGTCATATTTATACATTTTAATACGTGGGAATAAGGCCACCGGGGAATTGTCATCGCCTAGACGCCGCACATCCCTAATAAATTACCAGGGAGGTTGGCCCTATTAAAAACACGTGCGGGACGCCTATAATATTTCACATGGAAAAATATGTGAACATATTACTGCGCTATTGCAGGGGCGCAGGGGTCCGTACGTTTGCGCTGTCTCTGTGGATTTCACTAAAAAATATAAATGATGTGCATTTTATTCTATCCGGTATTTATTATATATGCGATGCCAAAAGGGAGTAGGACCTCTTTTCGACAAAGTAGATTTCAAGAAAAACGCCAAAACATCCATTAAGGTCGAATGTATCAATATTTCTTACTAATGACCAATAATTGTACATTGAAGTCTTTAAGATTAGGCTATAAGTAATAATAACCTAAACTAGAATAAATTGATCTTGCGAGAAGGGGCCTGTTGTCGGTCGACTACAAAGTTAGTTTTGTAGAAAATAGCTCTATCTCAATTTTGGAAAATGCCGACAAGAGGTCTCTTTTCACGTTCCGCATTTCATGTCATTTAAACCAATGTTTAAAAAAAAAACAAAAATAATATAGAAGTTCATATTATGCATAGCGGACCTCCGATTTTGGTATACAATTTCGGACGGTCGCATTAGAGTCATAAAAACGATTGACTGTTTGTTTTTTAATATTTTATTTATTATATTCATATTATTATTATATTTATGTCAATCTTGTCTAACCTACACCTTAGTTAAAGCAGACATCGATGACTACCCGATGGTTGCTTTTCCATAAATTATGCCAGTCATTTCATTAATATAACGTTGTTTGTATATGCTTTGTATGATATGATCCTTCTACTGCAGTTGTCTGTGGCGGTTTGAAGAACGTTTGTCGTGTTAGTATTTTATTACAACGTGAAACGGTTTAAATTATAATAATATTATGTTATGCGCCTCGCCTCGATTCCGGAATGATAATTTTCCGGTTGGAATTGTTTTTATCATTATAAACATGTCGTTAAACCGCTTTATTGCGTTGTGTAACGATAATGACGAAGAAATATAATATAATGACCGTAATTCGCAGATACCTTTACCGTGTTGCAGCAATCATTTTTGTTCTATCTGCGTTGTTGAGCCCATTTATGTTTTAGCACCGATGAAAATGGTACCGCTACTATATAACTCGGCCGGTATGGCGTTTGTGTGTAATTTGTGAACATAGTTCATAATAATTACTGCAACAACAATAAGTGGTTTTCATTATTATTCGATCGCTCACGCCGTGCCGTCCGTTGATCGTACGGTTCACGGTTGTCTTTGAAATGTTAAGACGGAGTGTGCCGGGTAATAATAATGATAATAATAATTATAGGCGATAACTAATTTGTCGAGCACAAAGCGGTCGCGTGCGCGTTGAGATACGATAAGGGGTCGTGAAAAAAAAAATCCGGTGTCGAGTGGCGGCGAAGGAAAGAGAGAAGGGGGCTGCTGTTGGAAAAGTATAATGTATAATATCGTATATTATTATAAACCCGTGTAAAGATTCTTCCTGCTGCCGGTATACTTACTTAATACTCGAATTGGAGTCCGGGACATGGGTCGCGTACATCACTTATCTCGGTCAACGCGTTGCACGCACAATAATGAACCCCGACCATGCAACAAGGGACGTATTGATAAATTGATCCAACAGGCAACAACCCCCGCGTTTTCGTTGTACAAACAATAAAGAAAAACTCCTTCGGCCTAGTGGTCGTTTACCCTTGTTTTGCACACGACGGGAAATGCCACAAACTGTGTAAATTCGATTAAACGTCGATAAAAAAATTACCTACCGCGGAGGATGTGGTTTTGATTTTTGAATAAATTAAAAATCAAACGCTCAGGGTATTCAGAATTGCATGGTCCGCCTGATTTTTTTATTACCCATGTCAACCCTTTTTGATTTTTATCGTACAAAAATATTTTAGGTCGTTGTATTCTATTCCTTTTATATAACGTTGTTAATATACATTTTCACTTATTGTTTACAGGTGCTGAAATATTGCGACCACTTGCATGGAAAATGGTACTTTTCCGAGATCAGAGCAATATTTTCAAGGCGTTACTTGTTGCAGAACATAGCTATTGAAATATTCATGGCAAGTCGAAGTAAGTTTTATTTTCAATACATCATTCGTATAAGTTGTATATTTTTATTTTTAGAATAATGTTAGTTGTAAATTATTACCCAATAATTAGTTAGACTGTTATAAAATTATTTAAAAGTATACAGTTCACTCGATTACTATTATTAGTTGTGTAATAGGTTTCATTTATATTCATTATAACTATACACGGAAAAAAATCATAACTGATCCAACAACTGATGAACTAAAATTATGGTTGACTTGAACGGGGAAGGCTCATCTCCGGTATAGCTTTAATTTCGCTTAGTAGTTGACGGTGGTATTATTTAATGATGTATACATTTTTTTTTATGCAAAGAAAGTATCTAATTATACCATAATGTCATAATGCTTCAAACTAATATATAATGTCGATATTATCGAATTTCGAATGAGATGATAGAATTGCAAGTTAGTAATGATAGAGATATCATTAGAATAATAATTGTAGTACGGTCTTATTGAAGCCCGGTGTTAGCACGTGTCTCGCGTTAAGTTCCTCATAAACCGTATCAAATGAAACATTATAATAGTACTGATATATATTATATATATATATATATATATATATATATATAGATGCAGAATTTATCCGTATTCCATATGGTCCGGATTAGAAGAGGGATTATATTCCCATGCGATTAACGTGCCACCGTCCCGTCACCACGCCCGTTCAACGCGGTTGTTAAGACATAGCCGTTTATCTTTTAAAAATAAAGAAAAAAATAAAGATAAAAAAATATTTTTATAGTACCTAATCCCATTAATTTTAAAGCATAACGGATATGCAGTTATTTAACGCGATACCGACGTCATCGTTAATTATTATTACACGGTTTAGACGACAAAACAAATTTATCTACGTGTCGCATTTAACTAATATTGTTGTAAAGCTGAACCTGTTACTGAAACTATTTTTACTGGACGTGAGCCTTTAAAAATCGTCCTTGAGCTGTTCATGTTTTCCTTCTTAATAAACGATTCGTTATAACTTTGTTTAAAACGTTCTATTTAAAATGTTAGTTTAAAAACATATTTTCAAATAAAAGGCTTTTATTTAAAAAATACTTTAAGTCATGTGGTACTAGTTAACAAGTATCTAATTCATTAATAAATTCCACAACTCTATATAAACAACGTTTTGTAATTAAGGTATAACTTAGTTTAACTGTGTTTGTGAGCATGTGTTTAGTTAGTAAATACATCGCTATTTTTATATAAACTAAAATAAAAACATTATAGGTATTTTGTTGTTTAGCTCTTCTAAGCATGCTTATAAACTATAGAATGGTATCTACAAAAATAAAATACCTAATAACGTCGTATTGTAAACTCTTAAATTTGTAAAATATTAACATTCCTAAAGAACCCTTACAAGAGAGTAAAAAGCACACTTATATTATAACTGAGAGAAATAACATTACACCAGTTATGATGTTAATTATTTTATTGTATTTAATTATATTATTTTTTATTTGAAACCGAAACACCGGATGGAAATCATTAAAGGGCAAACGAATAAAGCAAATATTTGAAAATATTTATCTTTTATGTGAGATATTTTAAATAATGTCTACTTATTTATGAACACAAAAACAGAAATTCGGAGAAATAAAAAATAAAAAATCAATACAATCTAATCCCTTTTTATTGTAAGAAATACCCTTAAAAATAAATCGAGGTGTGAGAAAATCTCTGGGCCTAATAAATAACAAACGCGGTTAATCGCGTTTTTTTTTTTTTTAACCGCTAAATTTTATTAGATTTTTGGATGACACACTCGTGTGAATATAAAATTGCACCTTGCGTTTAACATTGGACAGACATTTTTTTTAGCTTCGTGTTTTTTCTTTACCTCTCGCCTACGTCGAACCTCGCCACGTCCAGCCCACTGCCATTTCTTACGACGACATTCCACTTTGTTTTTTTTCTTCTTTAGACGATAAAATAATATATATGTGGTCTTTCTTTCTTTTTATTTTTTTTTTTTTTATTAATTTTTTTCATACTAGCCACACCGGCGGCTTTTGTCTCTGATATCCAAAGCCGGCCGTTGGAATCCAAACTGGACGCGAGCACAATCGGCTCTCGAAATCTCACGGCCGATCCGAGTTGATTCTTGACACTCGATTCAATACAGTGTTGCGTTTTTTCAGCCGCCGTCTAGTGTTTATAATATTTTAATACATACATTACACAAACCTATAGTACCATTTATTTGAGGTTTTTTTTTCATACCACACTCGGTGCCGAGATTTTTATTTTAGGCCTTCGCCCGGTTCAGACGACACGGTATATTTTATGAAGACTGTTCTAAACGGGATAGAGTAATAAATCAAGAGGTCGGCCGTTGACGATTAAGACATTCACGGCCACTGAAAACGCCTATTATTAAACCATCCAAATATCACCGAAGTAGTTTCGGTGTAGTGCGATGCAAAAGTGTCTTATAATCTTTAAAAATGAAACAATATGTTTTGTAGTATAAATTCACGTATTTAGATCTTATCTTATCTTAACTCTATTCGGAAACCTAATATCGCGTCTGTAGGATAAAATCGAGTATTATGCAACGCTTTAAAAATTATACAAATATTATGATTTAGAGAAACTTTTAAGTTTTACCATCTGAGTTATTCCAGAAATGAATTGAAGTGAAAAAGAAACTATAGCTACAAGAAATGATGGTGTTGTCAACAATTATATTACAAATAAGGTATTCCGGAGAATAAAAATCTTAAAAACTTTCCATTTCCCTATGCTAAAGTCCCTTATCAATCTATTAATGACCACCACTTGATAAATGCCACTTAAAAAAAAAATATTATAAACTACAAGTATTTTTATTATAAAACGAAATAATATTAATCGAAAAAAAATATATATATATTAATTTTGTGTTTATGATATTTAACATGTCTGTCATAGTTGGTATAATGACATTTTGGTTTTTATTTATTCGGTGTCTAGAATTTTTCGGTGCCTCGATTCTCGACCTTCTATTGTTTCACTCAAATACATGTTGAATAAAACAAATTCAATGGTATTACCCCGTTTTTATATTTGTGACCGGATTGGTATACGAGTTATTGGTATTACGAGTATCATGCCCGCGAAGCTAACGATACCTATACTTATGTACATTATTATATGCACTTTATACCTATACTTATTATGTGTCTGCGTGTGGGTAGGTATACAGTCTGATTTATTGTATTATTTACACATACTCGTATTATTATATATATATATATATATACGGTACCAGTGTATTTCGGGGTTTACTTTTGAAAACAGGATACCAAACGTTTTGTTAATGTTCCGGAAGTACTTAGGGGTCGACGAGAAATTATATCTTCGCACAACCCCTCGTCTGGTACTGCTGCTGGTGGTGTTTGTATATATATATATATATTGTATGCGTGTTGTTGTTGGTGTTGTTTAAGGCGGGCATATACTGGATCAATGCTAATTCGATTTTAAAGGACGACGGGGGCGGCAAACTCATTCGATCGCCGCACCCTCAGCCTCCACTGGTGTATACAATGTATAATATAACAACACTCATTGCTGTGCCGGCGGTAGAGGGTCGCGGAAACCGAATTATACAATATCATCCCCATTCCTCCCGTCGTCATGCTGTAGCTCTTATTTATAACAGCTATATAAATGCATTAGACCCACTGAATGAACAATACTTACTATATTACAGTTGTATACCTACTCACTACAACGGGACAGAATTATATTCTAAACTCATTAACTATTTTAAGTGTTATACTAATAACTAGAACTTTGGCATTTATGCGGTAAAAACAGCTAACTGTGAACGCACTCATTATTATTAGTAGTCACTAACAGTAAAATGAAAAATATCATTGTTATATGTTTTTTGCTATGTAAAAACAAACAAGTTACGTTTTATTTATGTTTTGACGAAGCAAATTGTAATCGCAGAAAATGTTTTTAGGAACTACTATACTTACATTGTAAATATAAAAATCATTTTTGTATTTTTTTAGCATCGGTCATGTTTTCATTCCCTGATCAGAACACAGTGAAGAGAGTTATAAAAGCATTGCCAAGAGTGGGAGTCGGTATCAAATATGGCTTACCGCAAACTAGGTAAATTTAAAAAGCTTCTAACTACTACAATATGACAGTGTGGAAATATATACCACATACTTTTATAAATAATTATATTACATTACTTCGAATTAATTGATGTATTATTATTATAGTTAATATTATTGTATTCTTGTAAAAAAAAAATGTGTATGAATTTTTTCGTAGACGAGCATCTATGATGTCCCCAAGACAGCTGATGAGAAATTCGAACATGACTCAAAAATGGCAGCGCAGAGAGATATCAAATTTCGAATACCTGATGTTCCTGAACACCATTGCAGGTCAGATAAATTATAAGTTAACTCTTTAATGAATCAAATAATATAACCGAAACTTGAATTTCACTTGTGTCTGTGTACTCTTGTATTAGAGCCATATTACGAAGTATATTTATTTATATGTATAGGGTGGTTTATAGAGTAACTACGACTCAGTCAATACCTTAGAAGTTATTAGACCTTTTTAACATTTTTTTTTTTTATACTTTTATAGTTATTAGCTCGCCCGATTTTGGTATATTTTTTCAAGGATATAACCCATCCCTGATCGATAATCAGTTTTGAATAACAACTTATGAAGTAATAACATTTTTTAATTTAGGATGAGATAGGAGGAAGGAGTGTAGTATTATTTTTTTTCTGCGCATAATACTCTACCGCGTTCCATCAACTGTCCTAAACATTGAACTTGGACACATGTGAAATGGTGTTATATCGTTGAAAAATGTATTACATTTGAGCCAACTAATAACTATAAAAGGATGAAAAAGAATAATCTTAAAGTATAGTCTAATAACTTTTATGATATTGACTGGGTTCATCCTGAACAGTGTACGCGTATTTTCAAATTTAGATATTAAAATTCCAAATATTATATCAGTAAGTTTTCGCCCCGATTACTACGCTCGACTCTAAAACGGATATGTGATTATAATTTATAACATGTCTGCAGATGCTTGCACTCTCATTCGATAACACAAAGTATATGTATATGTATATGTGTAGTACAAAATAGACACTACAATAGTTGACAGCGGAGGACAGGGGTTACATTTGTGTGCCAAGGAAGAACTAGCAGGATATTAACGTTGACGGTTATTGTGCAGGCATTTTCTAGCGTACATTATAATATAATGTATTATATGCATAAGAAACACAACACTCTCGGTCTATCTAATTGCTTAACGTCGCCACAACGGGTTTGTCCTCCAAATCACTGACAGCGCCAATTAGTGTTAATGTCACGCCCGTTGAAACCCCAAACCACTCATTTCCTGAACTAACATTATTGCTCTTCTTCTAATTTTAAACTGCAACATAGATCTTTTCTTTTCCACTATAGCTACACGCTTAGTGGGTGTGGAATCTGGAGATACAGACACGGAGTTTAAAAATTACATTTTTTTAAATTATTATAAAAATATTAATTATTACATTTAAAAAAATATAATGTCTGTATAATATACCTAATATGTGTACATTTTTTTTAACTTGAAAATTGAACGTTTTATATTACAGGAAGAACATACAACGATTTAAATCAATATCCGGTATTTCCTTGGGTGTTGACAAATTACGAATCAACCGAGTTGGATTTGGGTCTTCCGTCCAACTACCGTGACCTGTCTAAAGTATGTCTATATCTCTTCGTACTTACTCACTTTTGTTCAAAACTATTTGTTGTTTGATAATTTTATTCGGGTGTAACAAATGTGGAAATGTCAAACAATAAAAAAATGTTCTATACAATTTTTGACTGATGTTTTCAGCCACGTTGAACGGATAGATTTTCTAAACGTTGATTCTATATGTTCTTGGTGTACATGATTTTCATTAATTTTGTGTTTAGCCGATTGGTGCGTTAAATCCGAGTAGAAAAGCATACTTCGAAGAACGATTTAGCTCATGGGAAAACGAATCCATTCCACCATTCCATTACGGTACCCACTACTCTACCGCAGCATTTGTGTTAAATTGGCTGATTCGAATTGTAAGTAAACTGACGGGTGCTTAGTTGGATAAATATTATTTATTACTATGTTTTATTTTAACCTGATATACTTTGTTACATTACAGGAACCGTTTACAACAATGTTTTTGGCTTTACAAGGTGGAAAATTCGACCATCCCAATCGGTTGTTTTCGTCCGTAGCTCTGTCTTGGAAGAATTGTCAAAGGGACACTTCTGACGTTAAGGTAAACATTTGATTATTTTTTCAAAATCTGTAGCGGTAGCGCAATGCAATTGATTAAATTTAAACCGGATTATATTCGTCGTCTAGGAATTGATTCCCGAGTTATTCTTCTTGCCCGAAATGCTATCCAATGACAATGAATACAAACTGGGCCATCAAGAAGATGGCACGCCCGTCGGCAACGTCGATCTTCCACCTTGGGCCACGTCTCCAGAAGAATTCATTAGAATCAACAGAATGGTAATTGTTTTGTTAACAAGTTTGTCAACATTATTTCATCCATATATTATCGCTTTAACAGGCTCTGGAATCTGAATTTGTATCCTGTCAACTTCATCAGTGGATCGATTTGATTTTTGGATACAAGCAGAGAGGTTTGTCGAATATTATTTTAAAAAACTATTGAACACTTTTAGATTTTAACCGTGTTGTGGTGGTGTTACTCTTTAAGGACCGGAAGCCGTAAGAGCGTCAAATGTTTTTTATTATTTGACATACGAGGGCAGTGTAGACATGGATACTATTACTGATCCTATAATGAGAGAAGCTATCGAGAACCAGATACGCTGTTTCGGGCAAACGCCATCGCAGCTGTTGATGGAACCGCATTTGCCTCGAAGCTCAGCCATGCACATTGTGAGTTTACCGTCAATGGTCTACTCCTCATATTCTAATATGACTATTTTACCTTAACTATAACTGTTTTATACCGTGTACTCTTTGTAGTCGCCAATGATGTTCACAAGTATTCCCGATGATGTGTGCATGACCATGAAGTTCCCGTCCAACTCTCCAATATGTCACATTTCGGCCAACACATTCCCTCAATTACCAATGCCTGCCGTTGTTACAGTTACCACTAACATGCAATTTGCCATAAACCGATGGAACACAAATTATTCGGGTTCGTATATATTGTAACAATTATTGCCGTTTATTATGTTTGTGTGGTCATTTATTGATTTGAATTCTATTTTAGTGACTATTCAATCGCCTAGCTATGCGGATAGTCCTCAACAACCTAATGTTAACCTACCGCTCGTCATGGACCAGATTTTAAGTAAGTTTTCAATGTAATAAATTATTTTTAATCACATTGAAGGTACCTGTACAAAGTTGTATATAACATGTATTATGACGAGTTGGTTTTTTTTTTTCTGTAGCTCAATCAAATAACAATTCCAGCGTGACATTAAGACGTCATCTTGGCGACAATTTCAGTCAAATGTTGAAAATCAAATGGAACTGTTTTGTCACGACCGTCGACAGTCGTTTTCTAATTGTTTGTGGATTTTGGGATAATAGTTTTAGGGTTTTTTCAACAGAAACTGGTAAGTATTATTATTGTTTTCCATTTTAATTCCCAGTACCAGTTAAAAGTCGATATGTTGCATTTTTGTTCATTATCTAAAAATGTCTTATCTATGTGTTATACTAATTTATACATTTTATTAAAACGTATACTAATTAAAACAAATAACACGTAAAGTGACTTATTATTTGAAACTTATATTTTACCACAGTGGTGTTTTACATACTAACCATCTACACATTTCACCGTTTGTGTTGCAGCAAAAATCATCCAAATTGTATTCGGTCATTACGGCGTTGTGACTTGCTTGAGCCGTAGTGAATGTAACATAACATCAGATTGTTATATTGCTAGCGGGTCTACCGATTGTACGATATTGCTGTGGCACTGGAACGCCAGAAGTCAGACTATAGTCGGCGAAGGCGACAATCCCACTCCAAGGGCTACGCTGACAGGTCACGAGCAACCTGTAACTTCAGTGGCTATATCTGCTGAACTAGGATTAGTGGTTTCCGCATCATCGAGTATGTTTACAATTTTTCTGTGCTTACAATTATTATAATTTAGCCGACAAAGAGATGATTATTGTCATTATTAACTATTGATGTAAAAATCAATAATTAGGGTGATTGACAGTTCAAATCATTCATACATATTTTATAATTTATTCATGCTTGTTCTGAAATAAACAAATGTTCGTTTGGTGTGAACATCGTTTTTATAAACTGTAGTAATGCCCATTTTTACAGTGTTAACGGATGAAAAATTACCTAATAGTATATTTTTGTGTTTTTCCAAAAGGTGGCCCAGTTTTGATTCACACGACATTTGGTGATTTATTACGATCGTTGGATCCGCCCAACGGATTCGAAAATCCCGAATGTGCTGTTATGTCTCGAGAAGGTATTATAGTCGTGAATTACGAACACGGAAGTATAGCAGCGTATACAATAAACGGAAAACGACTAAGACATGCTACACACAATGATAATATTAGAGTATGTTTTCTAATTTATGTTCAGAAACGTTTTACAAATATATTTCATCTTGTTTCCTTATAATTCATAATAGATAATATGGTTAGGAAAACAATGTTTGATGTGTATCTATATTGTCATTTGTAGTGCATGTTGCTGAGCAGAGACGGAGAATATTTAATGACAGGCGGCGATAAAGGCATCGTTGAAGTATGGAGAACGTTCAATTTGTCCCTTTTGTATGCTTTTCCAGCTTGTGACAGTAGTGTACGATCATTAGGACTCACGCACGACCAAAAGTAAAACTCCAATAAATAAATTACAGTTAGTAACAATAATAATGATTGTACTTACAATGTTTTTTTTAGGTTCTTATTAGCCGGATTGTCAACAGGATCTATTGTGATATTCCATATTGACTATAATAGATGGCATCATGAATTCCAACAGAGATATTGAATACCAATATTGATTGTTTCAGATTTATTTTTAATTATTTTATTCAATAACTAACTTTTTTTTTTTTATTAAGTCAGAGCTCAATGAATAATAAAGTTAGGTAGGGACATGCAATAACTTGTCACTCCCATAGCTCATTGCTAGCCGGGGGAAATTATTTAACGTGGCATTCAATATATAGTTTGACATGTATATGCTCATTAATGGTTGTTAATAGTAATAATTATTTTAAAACAAGATTTTGACGTTACCACTTTCTTTTGTGTAATTAACTGTAAATGATTTATACAGTACTTATTCTAAGAACTATTCATTTTGCGATATCTATATTTTTGTTCCAGTATTTATAAAAACAATTGATAAAACGGTTCATTATTACGCATAAAATAAATTATATTCGTGAGTTTTTTTCTTTGGTAATAGTAATCATGCCTAGTGTATACTGGGTGCTGGGTAGTGACTACACAAATTTTAAAATACAATACAATTTCTTATTATTTTTTTTTCTTTTATATATAAAATATTGTATTTCTGTTATTGAATTTAGCGTGCTTATGCATCAAAATCTCATTGTGTTGTCTGAATAGTGATTTATAAAACTTAGTTTTACATGTTTAGATAATATGAAATAAGCATATAGAATGGGCAATTTTTAATCTTAATTAATAATAACTAATAAAGTGATTCTTCAAATTTGTCAAGACATTCCCTTTTAAACACTCTAATCCATTCCTTTAGAAATTATGTATATTTTACATATATTAACAATTGTTATTGTGATAAATTTTCAACAAATTCCAAGCTAATTAATAGAAAGCCAATTATTTCTTGCATTTTCAGTATACAAATATTGTATATGCAATAAATGTATATTGGGTGTTTGCTTGTGCTATTAATTATGCAGTTATTGTGATTCGATAATGTATGAGTATTAAAAAACCAGTGTTTAAAATAAATGTGTTTTATTGTTCACATTTAAATTGGTAAATTTTTGGTATATAAATATGTTAGTTTAATATTATAACAAGTAGTATTTTTCAAAAGTATTAATTGCTTATCATCAGTATTTACCTTTCTTAAAATTGAAAAAAATTTGTATAATATTTTATATTTATAAATTATTATTATAAATACAGTAAGTTAATTGAATTATTGTGATATAACAAAAATACATTTGTATTTTGTCCACATATAATTATTATAGAAATTACGATTAATAAGATAGCAATGAAATGTGCTATGTAAAGTTATGCCAGTCACATTAGTCCGCCCTACGAGGAATTTATTTTAGACTCATTCATGCTCATCAATAACAAGTCTGTTTTGTGTTACATATTTTGATCATAATAATTTGTACGTTTATTGCAAGTAACCGAGGTTGTGGCCTGTTTGTTATTCAAATTAAAAAAAAATAAAAACCTTTAAAAAAAAAAAACTTTTGGCCATAAATAGTGTTGTTAGATATTTTGTCAATTTCTTTATAACAATTAAGTACTTATTATTATTATTATTATTAAGTTTGTTAAATCAATCAAAACTTTTTAGGTATTTAAATAAATTTGATTTCATGGTTTGAAATTGAAATGGCACTTATATGGATGATAATTTATTGTTATATCGGTTCAATGCATTTTTAACATTATCAATTTTTGAATTGTTTTCGAAGAGATAGCTATTACAAAACGTGACATAGCATTTGTTTTCTTATGTGTTACGCTTTTGAGAGAATTTATTTGTATTTGATTTATTTATTATTCATTACTTTATTAATTATATTAATAACTATAAACAATTACTACAATTTACGTGCAATATATTAGCATTTTTGATTATTATTAGTTTACCAATAATGGAGATATTATATTATATTTTATGTAATAGCTTTTAGAACTTTATTTTCAAATTTCGTTTATATTAATTTATTAAAAATTATACCAATATTGATTTGAGTTTTAGTCATAATTTATTAGAATTAAATTATAATAATTATCCATCCATTTTTGTTTATATACTTTGAAATTTATGTTTCCTAATTTAAAAAAATAGTTGTACAATTTCAAAAACACCGCCAATGTATTTTGTTTGTATGACCGCATTTATAATTATTCATAAAATTACTCATTGTGTAACTATTTAATAAACATTTTATGATGTACTTAATTACGATTTTGTTAATTCAATAAAATATAAATAATATAGTTTCCATTAATTATTATGCTCATTTTGGCAATTTATTGCTGAATGACAACAATTATCTTATAATCATACAATGGTTTTATGGTACCCATACTATAGGATAACATTTTTGCCGTACTCTGTACTACCTTGATGCTTCTAATTATTTTTATTTAGCTTATTACTAAAAAATAAAAGTTAGACAATTTTTTATTAATCAATGTTCCAGTCCAAACTCCTAGTTAATGTTTTAGGTAAAGTTTTCAATTCACAAGTTTATTTTACTTTAAAAAAATATAAATCAAATAAATGAGGTGTTATTTGTTACTCTGTTCATATAAATATAGAAAAAGTGATCTAGAGAAGTAAACATATTGGTAACTATAGGACACAAGTTGTTTTGCTTTTTTCCATGGTAATGTAACACCTTACGTAGTTATTTTTTAAATTACGAACTTCAATAGACATGAGTATTGTCAATGTTTGTTCGAAACTCATTGCCTTTGGTTATTCAAAATTGAGTTCAAACGTTTACGCACTTTTAGTTATGTTAATTTGTTAACAATTATATTATAATACATACACCGGTACCTGGTGCATTGTTATTTTTACGGATAATTATATTTTATGGATAATATATTATAGCTTATTATAACGAGCACACGGCAATATTACTGTGTAGCAATGAATATCATTTTCATTGTAATTAAATTGGTAATAATCTTCTGCGAAAAAGTTCATAATAAACGTAGTGCCTAATGAGCAAATATTATTCCATGCCAGGAATTCATTATTGTACAAAGAAGTCAGGAAGTTCCTCAATATGGTTGTGGTGCAGACGGTTTTTGCCTTTATGGTAGTATTTTCATTGAGCCATGTGAGTTTTCGGTTTGCCCAATATTATATTATGTTGAATTAATAATATTAGCTAAGATACCTGTTTGCATAAAATTTCTTAAGTATTGACATTAACACCAATTTTTACTAAACATATGTTTCTGAAAAATAAAGAAGTATATACCATAAAAATATGTATACTAAACAAGTCATTAAAAAGTAAAAACTAAACGAGAAAGCCTATAAAATGTCTTTAATTTGTAAGTACTATATTTCTTTTGAAACGTTTGTTTAGTAGTATTGGGTTTCATCAATAAGTTAGAAATAATCTTCGACGAAAACACCATTTATGATTTATTTGTAAATATTTTAAAAGTCCCTCCCCAAATATAAATATGTATTAATTGGAGAAATACAATTATTTTAATCTCGTTTACATGAACGTTTTTATTTATTTTGTTACGTTAGATGATTCATTGTCCTGTAAAATCATCACCGGTACAAAGCCCAAAATCTATTACAGATCCGGCCGTCCCGACAAAAGTAATTCCGTTTACTTCCAATGATTCGATTATCTACGTTATATATTATAAAAATTGAAAAGGTTAATAGTTGTAACATATGTTTTTTTAAAAACTGTATACAGAAAATTGCTGCCAGAGCTACTGTTGGTGGAGGCGACAAAGTTATAGCAAAACGAAATACACGAGCGCTTGATCTAAACTTGATAAAATTATATTTTACTGTCCCCTACACGCTTATGATTTATGGACTGAAAAATTACTGGGGAAACACAAAACATTCAATACGAAAGTTTGCATCGCGTTTCTGCAGGAAGAAACCTGAAAGCGAAGATGACTATGAAGATAATTATTAACTATTTATTCTGACATAATATCATTACAGTTAAATAAAATATGAAAATAGTTACAAAGTTAATTTATACTGGAATAAAATATGTAAAACTTTTTTAATAATAAAATTACTCAGCTTCGTACCATATATCAACGGTATTATTTTTGTACTTAGATATTATATCTAACACGTGTAAATGAACCAAATTGTTTTTTTTTTTAAATCTGATTTTACAATTAGTCAAGTTTGAAAAACGTATTACAAAATTACATTGCGTAGAAGTAAAAAAGAGTATTTAATGTCATAACCTATAATTAATAATGCTTTTATTTTCGTTTTAAAATCAATTAAATACTTCGTCGAAGTGTAAATTATTTTGTTACATCTACAACAAATGTTATTATAAATGATAATGTTAATATAACTATTAGTATGCATTTTAATGTTATGTCTTTTATAACGATTTAAAAATATTGTTCCTAGAACGAAACGGTTATAACGTTCTAAAAAGGCATAACAAGTACAAACCCAGTTAAGTTACCGCACTCGTACTATTATAATTTTCATTTGTATCAATATTTATTACCTAGTTTTTAAAAAAATTATGTAAATTTTGAGTTTTTAATCTCTGATTTCCATTAACGTAAAATGAATTGAAGACATGTTTTTATTTTATTACACCTATGATAGTAATTTAAGAACCAACTTGAGCTGTAATTATTATTGTAAATGATAAACAATAGCTTCACACATACTGTACAGCGCATAATTGCTTGTAAACAAGTAAACCGACTTAATGTAACGCAATTACCTTTGTTCAAAAATATATACATGTTTATAATTTAATTTGTCACACACATTAAATGTTCATAATATTAAAGAATAGTATTATAATTTACCTTTTAAGTCCATGGAAAACTTCGTTTAGTGACATATTCTATTACCACTATAGTATACAGGTAAAATATTTTATGATATATTATTATTGTTCGATTATTTGTTATAACTAAATAAAAAATAAAATGTTTAACATGAAATATATTTGGCTTTTAACCGTTTTGATTTCAGTGTTTTATACATTACAAGTGAGTGTATAGACATTTTTAAATATTATTGTATATAATTTATAAAATATTATTATATTAATTAAGTGATAATTATAATAAATTATATTAAGGCCTAACATATATAATTACCTTTAACACTAAAAAAGCCTTTCTTTATCTGTCACTAGCAGTTTCTAAAATATTATATCCTATTTTCTTACCCAAATATTATTTAAAAATAAATTAAATAGGCTTAATTTTTCCCAGTCGTCACTTCTAATGATTGATACAAGTTCAACAATGTTACTCGATACTTAGTGGCATTTGGTTGAAATCTTTAAGAAAAAATTGCTTTACATAGAAATTAAACTATTTATTATAGTGTATACCTAGATGTCGGTTTAATGGGTTTGAATTAATAACTTATTCATTTTTAGAGAGTTAATGGAAGTGAACAAGAAAAACCGAAAGAAAACGATCAAAAGGTAAATTATTGTTTTAGCAATAAAAAATTGTCTTTATTATTTAAAAAATGTATTATTATTATAATATTAAGATATTATTACAATATTTTGATATTAGTAATGATTGTTTTCATAATACAAACTACCCGGATTTAAACTCTAGGGTTATGACTTATGTTATACTAATACATATGTACTTTATAAACAATAGTATCAATATAGTAAAAGCTTGAAGGAATGGTTTCTTAATATTCTTAGTATTAACGATGTATATAATTTGAATATACCTAATATATGATAATTATCCAAAATTTAATTTTTTAATTAACATATTATGAATTGGGTGTAATTAATATACACAGTAAACAAATAGTACTAATTTAACAAATTAAACCTGGGTCTAGTAAGATTAATCCTATAAAAACAATTGAATCGGTTATTTGGAAAAAGGAACATGACCAGAAATTAAAATTTTATCGAAAAGACAAAGAACTAATATAACTAACATTTATAAAAACGTGTAACAATTATATGCATGCTGTTACGACTTACTAGGTACATGAATTCTAAGTATGTTTCGTTTTAATGCTAAACAATTTTAGATTCAAATAAGATAATTCCAAAAAAGTTTGAAACATGTTCCCTTTTCCAACCCATTCAATTGCGTTAATTAGATAGGTATTACTCTGTAAGATTGTCTTGGAAGCTAAGAAGTAATAATTTATATCATTGATCTTTTTTCTATATCTTTGTTAGGAACATAATATCGTTCAAGGAAATGAAAACAACACGGGTAATATAGAACATCATGGAGAGTCAGCAAATAAACATTCTTTACTAAACGGCGGACTTTTAACTAGGACCATAGATGTAATGAAACGGATGGTACATAACACAAAGTTGGCAGTGGAAAAAATTATGCATTGTATCTTGTAATATTATAACTTGTACAAAGAACATTGATAGTACAATACAATTATTAATCGAATAAAAGCAATATACATTTTATGTACTTTGTTGAAGTGGATGATTTTTTATTTAAAAAAAAATATATTAAGGACTACAGGGTAATTCCTTAAGAATAATATATTGATTTTCGCTTAAAATAATAGCAATTTTGTAGTTTTTATTTTTGGAGAAACGTTGGTTTATGTTATCTTATAATATTAGATAATTTTTAACATTCTTATTTTTTTCCAGAGCTCTATCAACTTTTTAAACTTAAATGGTAATGTTTATATTTAATTAACTTTAATAACTTAAAAGTGATTATCCAAAACTCGATATTGACTATAGTCAAAATCTTCAGAAAATTATTCTTAATTTTAATAGGTAGTTAATTTAAAATATATAACTACCATTTATGTTGTTAGACCTCTAAAAAATATTAAAATAAGTAAATATTTAGTAATTTTAAAACAATGTAAAAAACATCAACTAAAGTGCCTCCAAAAATAAAAACTACATAGTTGCAACTATTTTAAGAGAAACGAGTGTGTTATCCTTAATGAATCGCCTGTATAATAAACTATAGCCCGTAGACTTTTGGAAGATACATTTTGTTTGCAACGAGAACACTATAAAATGTATAGAAAACAAACAATTTTGATGTTTTAAGCTGTATTTTACAAAAGTTACACTAAAAGACATTACTGTTGTTTATAGTTATAACCGAAGTATTATTTACGGTTTTAATCAGATACTCGCGATCAAACATAAAATACTATTTAAAACGAATTGCTGTGAATAATGAGCAAAACTGCTCATCTATTCGGTTTCATTTCACAACATGCAAGGCAAACATTAGCTCACATGATATATTAATGACAAGAACACTGCACTTATAATTTTAACGAATAGTATTGTCATACAAAAAGCAGTTTAAAATGTACAGGCATTTATCAATATAGTTAGTCCCACATAACATAAATATTATATTTTTGTACCATGTCAAACATTTTGAGCTGTGGTAATTAAAATTGTAAATGTATATATTTATCAATTGATTTATATAAAACTATAAAAGATAATATACAAGCCGACGCATTGTCTGGTGTCTACGTTCTGATAATATTACATATTCATTGTACAAGTGTAATGAATAAATGAAAAAAACCGAATTAATTAAAAAATTATCTTACAAAGAACAACAAAAATACTACCTAAACTCTATAGGGAAGATATAAATTGTATATATTCAAAACACTAAGAAGTTTATCTCAACAAGGTATTAACTCATTTTAAAACCCTCATGAGCCCATATAAACAATAAAAAAAAAGAAAAAATATTCGAACATAAGTCTGTAAAATTAATAATTAATAATATTTTATATTTGACAACTACTAAATAATAACGGTTTCATTTTCTATTCCGTTATGCAATAGATATAATATTACCTATACTAAATCATAAATAATTTCAGTTTAAATTTCGTACAACTTACTCGACTCTCGAGTCAAAATTGAAACAATAGATAATCATCAACAATATAATTATCGAGTAATTATAAAGTACAGACGTGAAATTGCTCATATTTACTATTATTATTTAATATACAAGGAAAGAGGTAATACCTATACTATGTTATTATGTATTGTTAAAATAATATTATGTTAACAATTACCTACACGCCATTTATTATGATTGGATTTTACTGTTGTTTAATTGTTTGTTACCTGATGGGCTAAGTTTTTAAAAATATAATTAAATTTGTTGCAAAAAAAATAGAATAAAACATGGTTTAAACAAAATCATTAGTGAGTACCTATATACAAATTTAAAAATGTTATATTTTCAATATATATTTAGTGTGTTTATAACTTTTTGTTCTTTTCAAGTGAGTTATACTTATTTTGTAAGGAAATAATACCGTTACCAAATTAATAAGGGAAACGAAATGATTTTATTATTTTTTTTCATTGTATTTCTGGTAACGTTTTCAATATTTGTTTATATAACATATATTTGATCTAGAATCTAAACATGCATAGAATATATTGTCGGTGACCCCCCCCCCCTCCCCCGAGTGTTTAAAGTATTTTGTCTAAGAAATTATGACATAAGATTTTCAACAAAACAATATTAATTTATTTACAAGGTTTGGTAGTATTAACTCGTATTATACTATATATTATACATATACATTTCATAAAATAATACAATTTAACATAAATATTAGTTTTAAAATATACTAGCTTTAACCGTTATTTGGACCTAGAGTTTATAAAAATGGTATTGTTAAAACTTATGTGTATAAACTAGAAGCATTACGATTTTAAAAATGCAGCTTATAAAACAAAATAATTGCCCGTTTCCGTTTTAGTTCTTAAACAAATGTGTGACAAATAAATATTTTAAAACAAACCCGAACAAATGAATTAATTTATCTGAATTATCTGGATTTTTTTTGGTTTGTTACTACTAATTTATTTTTAAGTTTTTGTTTTTTTAAAGATTTCCAATACATTTTTTATAATTATATGTATACTTATATTAAACATTCAAAAAGCATGTTAAAAATTGTAACGTCCAGTAAAAATCCTGAATTTTCTGATCCCATACCTATAATACTATAGGATATACTAATACATTGTATGAATTATAGTAAAACATCAATATATTCATATGATACAATTTATTTTGCACTTTATAGAATAGTTTATTAGTCAAAGCCGGCAGAGACTCAAACTACCGAAATGAAAATCTAGAAAAACGTGCCGAAATTCATCAAGACAAGATCAGAGGAACAAAGGCAGAACATATTCTTAAAGAAAAGTTGTACAATGGTGCATTAACAAAGGAATCTATTCAAGAATTAAAACACGTTTCGGAAGTTGTAATCAAACACATTATAGATGACAAATACTTTGATGGGTTTTTAAAACAAACATTTTCTACGCTTGAACAATATGCAGGTAATTAAAAATGTTCTGCATCTAATAAACATTATATATTATGGAATAGCCTTATGAACATTTTATAATTTTAGTAGAGGTGTTTGGAGTTTCTAAACATTCATGCATTATGTGCTTTTATATGATTTTTTTAATCAATGATGTAGAATTTATGAAAGCTATTTAAAGGCGTTGTTCTGTTCAAAACAATTTTACAGACAAATGTTTGAATGCAAGATTTTAGTTATAACCTAACCCCACAACTAGACCGCGTTGTGTTTTCACAATAAAAGTTACATCAAGGTTTGACACGTTAAACGTATATTTTTTAATATTATAATGTATTAACAATATTATAGAAACAATACAAATGCTTGAGAGTTATAAATACCGTTGTGAACAATAGTTATTTTCTAATTTCACAGTTGATCAAATTAACAACAGGCTAGTTAAGCTTCAGGAATTATACAAAAATTGGGAGGCTTCACAATTCGATGACCCACGTCTAAAAGAAGAGGTGCGACAATATTTGGAAAAGAGAAAAGCAACTATCCAAAGAAAAGAAAATGAAAAAGACTATCATAAGAAAATGGAAAAGTAAATAAAAGTAGGACATAATTCGTTTAAAAATAACATACAGTATACATATTTTAATGAAGCCACAATGTAAATAATTTTTATTTCATCTGCATGCCTTTTTTCTGCATCGTGAAATGAGTAATGAATTTTTGGTTTTCGATGGAAATTTAAGTATTATACATTTAGAGGTGAATGTTAAATTTTTCAAAGTAATAGAAAAAATATTTAATTTTAACCATGTTAAATCAATTAAAAAAATAAACGATTGTTATTTATAGACATAATTCTACACTTCAGAAGTTTTAACAACGATTGTAGTGTTTAATAATTTCGTATGTTTATTAATATTGTAATTAATAATATGCTGCACAGTAGATATAGGTACAAGTTTATGCAGTCGCGTGTGTGAACATATGTATTCTAATAATTAGAACACCTGTTTTAGCATATAACAACTTAACGTAACATACATATCATTATGTACATACAGTTTACAAGCAACTTTTTTTTTATAAAGGTTTAGAAATAATAATTATTATTATTTCAGCCAATCAACCTTGTAATACAATAAAAAAAAAAACCGATCCAAAAACATGGCTCGTAGTGCATATGATAAACAGCTAAATTAGTCTAAAAACATACTTTTCAGTACATCATAAGTCATATAACTATCCTATGCTAACCACCATAATAATGAAATATTGTTGGTTAGTATCATAGGTAACTTGTAAATAAATTAGGTCTCGATTTTTATTTTATTTTTGCGGGTTGGTTGCTTTTTGCATAACGCCATTCAATTATAATACAAATTTGGATAGATATACTAAGTACTACTAATACGGCGATGTAGGCGGGCAATTCAGCAACATGCGTGCATTGTTATTAGTGTGAAACAATTTATACACTCTGCAAGTATTTATAGGCACGGTGACCGAAGCAATTTGCAATATATTTACCCAGAAAAAACTATTGCTCGTCATATTGCGTTACATGTTATACAAAATGAGGCCATTTAACAACTGTATATTATAATGATATTGACTATCCAAACGACGAGTCAGTAGTCGAGTGTAGAATAAATAGTTTTGAAATTGTTTGCACACAGCGTGTCGCGGTTACATTTTATTTGCTTCAATTTTAAAGAAGAGTTAAATATAAATGTATTGTATTTCACCAAATACAAGAGTAATAATTTAAGACGCATTTTTATTTACTCACCTAATTGAACAAATTCAACTAAAATACTAACCTCGACAGTTTATTAGGAAATTACATTAGTAACTCTGTTCGTCGACATACATACATATTATGCTATTTTTAATAAACAATTTATTGTTTCAGAGATAAATAGATGCTTACAGCTAAATAGAAATGCAGCAAGTCTAAATTATGGTGACGTAGAATAGTTATATTAGTTTAAGCATACTTGGATATATTGTTTTTTTGTTCAATAATTTGTTAAAAGTTTACAACACTTTATTATTCTACTTCTATATGCACAAGTAAATACAAATATTTATTTACCATATCTCTGGTATTCAAGTGTTTTCCGCTGCCTGATAATAAATAGTAACCAACACACTCATAAAACAACTATTGAAAAAAGAAGCTACCAGCTCGTTGCAATTGTGGTATTCAATGATAATTTGTTGTCGATTTTATTCATTTATCGTAATCAACAATATTATAAAAATGTTTTTCGAATACATTTTGACTGTTCACACATAGCAACCTGAATATGTAATATGGTCAGTGTGATTTTTTTTTCGTTATAATTTTTTGGGTATTCTTTAATAAAAAAAAATGTTTGACAACAGATTTTTGAAAAAAGTTGCAAATGTTATAACTCTATACATGATCTACCTTCAGTCTAATTTTTAGACCTTACAGCTCAATATTACACTCGAGAAAGTGAAATAAAGAAAAAATTGCCACCTCTTCAGGGGGATAGGATTTCCATAGCTAATTTGTTTATTAATTCTTTGCTTTTCAGCATATTTTAAGTATTTACGTTGGTAATAACATATTTATTCGTGAAGAGCTCTTGCTACTGTACATTACAATAAGATATACGGTAAAGGTTAGTGGCTAGAAATTAGTAGGTAAAGACTAAAGGAAATTCACTTCTATGCTTTGGCATGCAAACTGTAAAGGCACATTTACCGCTATGTCCGGAAATTCGGAAGGCCGTCATACCAAAAACCCACTTTGAATTCCCTAAGGTCTAAGGAACACATCCCATTGCAATTTCCACGTTTCTCCAATAAAATATTCCTTTGTCCGGTCGCGTTAATAACCCGTTTTGATAGTAACACTATTCAATTTCCGTTAAATGTTTAAGTTTTAGTAAGCAGAAGCGATGTAATATTATTATTAAAAACATTGATACAACCCCAGTTTTTATTGAGTTTTGTTGAGCAGATTTTTTTATTTAATCAGACGCTAAGCTGTTCTGAAACCATCTGATAACTTACAATACTAATGCAAAGTATTTTCTCAATGGAATAATGTTATTTTAATAAATCTTTCGAAAGTAAATAAATAGGTAGCTTATGGTTTTATATTACCGGTTGTCACTTCATATATCCCTTCCAAGTTGTACTTAATGTGACATCGGTAAAAGATAAAAAAAAAACAAAATTCGAAAATGCTTTTGGCGAATGGGTAGAAAAGTTTTAAAACCCTCTAACCCAATGGTTACAGTCGCATTTTTTCGCCAAAAAGTTTTATACAAGACAGAGTGAAAATCGGAGAGTAAGAAGTGAAGTGGAGCGTCGGATGGCAATTGTTAATCAGTTTTAGAAAAGTCGAGACATGGCAGGTCTGAGTAAAACGAGACGCGAATAAAATACTGTTTAATTTATTTGTTATACCTATAGTTTTTTGGATATTTTATATATTGTGATAATGGAGTAGTTTATTTTTTTATTGTTCAGTAAGCTTATCGTTTACTCATGATTAATACGATTTTGTGTTTTATTTTTTTTCGTTAAATTATCCTACGAACTATAAGGTATACGTTTAACTTGTCACTTTTTCGACCTAATATATTTTCATAAATGTGGGACTCTCGCTTGACTTACTCTCAGTTTTTAAGTACACTTCAAGAGTTCAAGAAGATTAACCGCTATATTTGATATTACTCCAGACAATGTTTTATTATTTATGGGAATTTAACTTATATACTTAACATATTTTGATGATATCTCTAGTAAAATGTATAATGATACGGCGATATTTTGTCATGTTATTCAGCCAGTGCATTAAGAATAAATAAAATATTATGAATATAGTAAATAGGCACACTTAAAAAACAGTAATAAAACGTATGTCGAATACAATAATACAATTTGGTAGAAACAAAGCAGTTTATTGAATCAAAATCGTTAACCCTTGTAAACATTATTGTGTCAAAAGCACTGTACTTTATACTGCAAAAAGGAAAACTCGCAAAATGCAATTATTTTAAGATTAAACTAGTGTAGCCTGTAGGGCGTTAAAAACATCACCTAGTGTATGACTCATCGTTTTTTTAATGATACCAATACTCCACTTATTTCTTCTATAAACGCAAATAACAACGTATCCAATTTACTAAACAAATAGAATAAAAGGCGCCACATCCCTTATCGTTAACGTACTCTCGAGTCGAACGTTAGCATTTATCTTTACAGTGATGTATCATGAAAATAATACCAGAATGCAAACATCTTTTTAACATTACAGTGTTATCCACAATTTCTATTATACCATATTTTAGAACCAATAACATAAAATATCACATGCAGCAAACTGTCTGTAATGGGAATCAAATTGAACCTGATATATATTTCCAATTACAATTTTTATATAGATAAGTTTACTCTTTACAATTTTATCGATTAATCGGTCAGACATTTCATTCCTGTATACCTAATTCTATACAATATTCCATTTTTTATTCTCGGTAAGTGTACATTACGACCTATGTAAACCCGAAAGGTCTTCTTGTTAAAATTGAAAAGGTTCAGAGACGTTTTATCCGGTTTGTTGCTTATAAAATTAATACGTCTGGTTGCCTATCGCTAAAGTGACAAATTAAATAACTTGTCTAAAAAATATTTTTAGGATTTTTTTTTTCTAAATTAATTTCTACTCATTTGCGCTATAAAACCCACGTTTTTATTGCACTCAACTGTTATACTTTTTAAGTAATATTTGTTACGTTTATTTTCATACTACGCCAAAACTATGTGGTAAATATGGGTAAATATAAAAATACAAGTATTATTTTTTAAGAATCATAAATTCAACAATGTTGGGTGTATGCGAACAATGGATATATTATGGCCTTGGTCATCGGTTAAAACCGAAGCACATACAACAACAAAATATACTGGAAGGAACTTGAAATTAAATCTAACCTGTTTACAGTACAAAAACCAAAATGTAAAAAAAACAAAGTATTTTTTATTTCCATTTGAACGCAGGTTTTGAGATCTAAGAGCTAAAAATCTCCCTGAAGGTAGTCGAATGTTTGTATTCATACCGTGTACGGTTTTTTTTTTCAACGGACAAAACTTGTTGGCAGACTTTTATTTCCGTTTTCATGGACACACGGACCTACTTATTATTAGTTTGTCTTGTACTGTCACTTTGAATTAATAATGTAGTCAACCGTGATACTTTAATCGCTGTAATCTTATTTTCAACTTTAACCACCCCAACTCCTTACCACGACCTCATCATCTGTTGTTGTGGTCGTGGTGAGGAATTGGGGTGGTTGATGTGAAGAATAAGGTTAGAGCAATATTAGAGTATTACGGATGACGAATAATGAAGACTTTTTATTTGGATTTTAACAAACAGAAACTAGAAAGGTAAGGTTTGCTCTTTAATTACACAATAAGAACCCTTTAGTTGTGCATTTCTGTATAATGACCATCGGGTAGGTATTACATTTGAAGGGCTGCGGGGAAAAAAGATCAATGTCAATTTTTTTTGAAAATGAGACTTTGGTATCAAATTATTTGTATTGACGTATTGTATTTTTTATGCGCTCGAACCAGGGAAAACAGATTAGTCGAGAGTAACGACCGCCGGAAGTTTAGGCATACAGGCAAAATGTATTGAAAATAAAAACATGATTTTCTCAGAATGAACAAAAATTGACATTGATCTTTTTTCGCCGCAGCCCTTCATTTGTAAAACAGTATATATTATAATTACATTTGTTAAAATTGTATTCCGCAGCAGCAGTATAAATTACATTACAATTTATGTAAATATAAATGTAATAAATCATTTGAGTTAACATCTTATAAATATTTAATACAATTAACTCCTATACATGCGAACAAGGTGAACCTAACCTCCACACGAAATTTTACCTAGGGCCTAATTAAAAAAAAATATATATATTTATATATGTATAACGAAAAAAGAGTTTGGTATAATGTTAAATAAATAAAATCTCATTAAATTAAATAAAAACTGAAAAGGATATTTTTTTTTTATATTAATCATGTACCATAGTTTTAAATAAGCTAAAAAAAAAAGTCATTATTAGTTTTCCTCAGTTTGTAAGTGATGTATTTTAGCCTAGACTTTTGATTCAATCTTGGAAACAAAAATAGAGCCCGAAGTAGGTACAGGTGCCCTTATTGTTTTAGGCTCGATATCTTGTGAGAGCTAAAATAACCGAGGGCAGGATTTGGATATTTGTTTATGGCTGAATGAGAGTGTTTTGAGCTTGGTGAGTTTTTAATTTGTCATAAAATATTAAGCCAATTTGACTTCAAAATAAGTACCCTTAGAAATCGGACTCATCATTGTTGGCACCAAATGCTTATTGACAGGATAGTTGGAATTACAACAGCTGTGGTTTTCACACTTAGTACATAATATTATATTAGAAGAGAAATTTCGGATTCCCGAACCGTGCTTACAAATTTATTGACATCGACAGAAAGTTAACCATACAACAATCACGTTGATCTAGATTGGATTAATACTTGTAAAATTGATGTAGACCACACGTGACGTCTACTTGTATGGTTACTAACATACTAGAACTTTAGGTTATTATGAATTATATTTAGATTGGAACTATAAGGGAAATATAATATAGACATGTATCATGTGTAGGTGTTAAAACAAACAACTGAACAATAAAACTAATTCAAATAAAAATTAAATCTATACATTATTCATTTTTTTTTTTTGGTTATGTCATTGCCTCCGTTCCTGCTCTTTTAAACTATTAAAATTTTACATCCGAATTCTCCCCTGTGTTAACCCTTTCCTATCTACTACCTAGGTAGAGAAATGGTAAAGAGACAACTGTCCCTAGGTCACAGCTGTTGCTTCACATCGATATAACGTTTAGGGTTACATACTATTAACCTAATTTTTAACTGGCGCTTAATTATAGATTGCTATACTACCTATATAATATGTAATATAAACCATTTTTAAATATTTTGTATTATGTAGAAGTATTAAGTATGAATGAATGAACACCAAGTAACTCGAAATCGGAGATCTACTAATATAATTGTACTAATACAATTGTACGTAGTTTAAATATAACACAAAAATCGAGTTAGATACATCTTCCATTTTTTTAAGCATATCTGGCTCTAATTTGATTAACGCTCAGTAGAATACGGCTTTTAACAACTAATAAGTAATGCT